GAAATTGATAATTTTATTGCATTACAATATTTCTAGAGATATGATCAGCTTTTCTATATGGAAGTTTTGTTTCGGGAACTCACGGAAAGTGTCTAAGTATAGGAATGTGTGTTTTCTCTAAGGCAGAACTTCGAAACACACACAAATATATATATATATATATACACACACACACACATTGACTAACTGGCATGCGTGCTCATAAATACTTCATCAGAGAACGCTTGCAAAACTTTATGCCCTTTCGATGCGGCGCGTAGGCAAACTGACGATATAATGATCTCCCCAAGGTGTAGGGCGGTAGCCCCGCCTCCAACGCAGACAGTCCGCACACTGATTAGGGCTGCCACAGCTATTGCCGCCGCCTCTCCCACTATGAGTGTATTAGGATTCCTGCGGCACTGCTCGGCATCACCTTAATCGGATGCCAAAGTTGCTTCCATTCCCTACTGTCTGGCTCAACAACAAACACGGGCTGCCTGCTGTTGCGCCCCTTCGGGTAATATTAACAGGAAGTGAAATCAAAAGGTTGCCTTTTACTTGATTTTCTCAATTCAACAAACGCTGCTCGCCCAGCATTGTTCGTGCGGCTTGCAGTTTAACTTCATCATCTTCACTTCGTAACCGGGAACTTGCTTAGCTTGACTTACTGGCATCTTCGCATCCTCGCCTCCAGCTCATCCCCTTCACCATCTCCATCACCAGAGCTTCGTCTTCGTCCGTTTCATTCGTCATGACTGCCTGCCTGCCTGCCTAGCTGTCTGTCTGTCTGACTTGGGCGTTCTCTTCCTTGCTGAGTCTCCGTGCGTGCTGTTGTTGTATAAGCAGCTCATCTGCGGCTGAGCGCATTTTATTTGTTTCAAATTGAGTTATGCCTAATGAAAATCAAATAAGCCGCAATCGAGCCGGAAATGTGTGTCAGTCGTTTCGTCGTCGGTCGGTCTTTTGGGTGGCCGTCTTGCCGACTTGCCTACTTGCCGACTTCTTAAGCGTTTTAGCGTTGTCTACATTTGTATCTCTACATTAACGTCATTTTCGCATTTTATTGTGTAAATATTGTCTATTCTACTTTCCCTCGACCGCACATTGGAAACGCTTTTGAAACGAGATAGCAATCAATTAAAATTCCAGCCACAGGGAAGGTGTTGATTTTCTACTTCCACTCTTATTGTTACGCGCATACAAGACGATTGCAGCCAGAATACCGTACTCGCGGTAGTTGTGCGAGAGTAATACTTTAAATTTTTCCATGCTTCTGTGGGCGTGTGTGGGGTGTGTAAACACATTTGCATATTTTATATTTAGTTACTGTCTGCAGCAACCGCACGCAATAAAAAAAATCAAAAGACGATGTGTTAGGCTCCATGCCAGAAACACTACAAAATTTTGTTGAAATATCAAATTGCTTTCTCACTCATTACTCATTACTCACACCGACTCGTACATACGAAGCAATAAAGTATGAGGTACGGCAAGCGTAGCTATGTGGCAAGTATCTCCGTCGCTTCCCCACTGCCCCACTGCCACCTCGTAAGTGTTGAAAATTATTTAATGACTTTTCTGAATTTGAAACGGAATGTGTAAGTGAGTTGGGCTGCCGTTAGTGTGCGAGTATCATGATGATTATGCCAAATATTTGCATACACAAATATGGCAGGCAAGCGGTCGAGTTGTTTGCCTGAACTTTTTAGCTAACAAGTGCCTAGTAATTGAGCAGCCAACGCACGCAACTGACGTGTGTGTCGAGTTGGTTATACTATACCGGCCAGGATTACGAGTAGTTCAGCTTGCCAGCGGCTTTTCTTTACACTTGCCACAATCTTATTAATTATTTATGCGCCTTTTCCCGCCCTGTGAAGTGCAGAAGTCGACAGCCACTTGTAAGCCAGGCCGTTTAATGAAGCCCCACTCGAGGCTGGCGTTCACATTAATTTGTTCATGCGACACTCACAAGACAGCTGACAGCGACAACAACAACAACACCAGTAGCAGCAGCAGCAGCAGCAGCAATACTTCAGACTCAGTTACATAATTTGTAATTAATGACCAGTTAAAAAGCTACCTTGAGCTGTTCTGAACGAAGAGTTAAGGCGTTTGCCACAGCTAGTCGACTGACGCGGTTTGGTGCGATTTTCATGGCAAACGGCTGACAGGCAAACACTGATTTATGGCCTCAAACCGCAGAATTTATATGCCATCAAAAGCGACTGGTGTCTACCCGCCAACAGGCTCGCCTGTCTCTACTTTCAATCTATATTCAATTTTTTGCCTTTGTCGCACCATTTGAATGTGAAACGTCAGCAGCATTTCGGCACAGCCCGGCTTTATCTCCTCAATTCCTTAGTTCTTACGGTTGCGCTGAAAAACTGGCGACTGGCTCTGTTTCATTTTATAGCTTCAGTAGGCCATAGATCCTAACCAAAGTGCAATTTGTCTTCTGACAGTATCGATAGGCAATGCAGACGAGAAGAAGGACAAAAGCACCGCTGCTCTCAACCTTACTTGTCATTGCTGTTATTGTACGAATAGAACTTGTATGGAGACACTGCAGCATCAAACCCAACATGTCGTCGGCTTTGCAAGCTGAGACCCGGTCTGTCTATGGCCGTTGTCAGTCGAGTGACTAAGCCACTTCAAAGTGGCAGCCTAAGCCAAGTGTAGCTGTTCCTAGCTATCTAGCTATTGGGCGTAGCTACGAATATTGCTGCAGCTATCTGCGTCATTCAAAATGTAATTCTTCAATTACAAAAATGTCTCGCTCTATGCACACTTCTGTCTTACTGATCCAATGTTCACTAGAGACAAGCCTATGATTAATGGCTTCAAACCAATACGCCCAGCCAAGGGGCTGAACCCCTTTACAACTAAAAATGTTCAGGAATCATTCTTAGTACCAAAAAGATTTTTGCTTATTAAACAAATTTATCTGTCTCGTCAAAATCGGTTTAGTTTATCATGGGAATAATTAGTGGGAAGAAGTTTATTTAATTTAAAAGACTTTAATGAGCTACTCGGTTATTTGCTTATAATAATATTATAATAATATTTGTTGATCGATTTTATACCTCGTTGTCGGTTTCGTTTGTTAGCCATGAGTAATCCTAATCTATACTAATATTATAAAGAGGAAAGGTTTGGTTGTTTGTTTGTTTGTTTGAATTGAAAAGGCTCCGAATCTACTGGACCGATTGAATGGATTCCTTCACTGTTGGGAAGCTACACTATCGGCGGTTAACATGGGCTATATAGCATGCTATTAGTTCATAATCATCCTCAAAACATTGTCACTTTAAGTATTAAGGTAATATTATTCAAAAGCCCCCAGCCAAATAAAAGATTACAAATCGATCGCCACCGTGAGTAATTTTAAAGACTTTTACTTGGACTTGGACTGCCGCCACATGAATTGACGGTCAAATTCGGAATTGCTACCATGCTTTTGAGAAATTAAAGCCTTCCAAGCATGTGCAATGGGACGAGGCTGCTTATTAAGGAATTGCAGGACAATTTAAGTGTAGCAACTATTATCAACGGCCCAGCAACTGGTCCACTAGCTCATATAACGAGGATACCGAGGATACCGATGATCCCATTTGATCAATTACTATATATGGCTTCAATTTCCGCTAGTCCCAAGGCCAAGCCTTCGAATTAGTAGGGATCGACATACGAAAACAATGTTTTGCTGTACGTTGACCTATCACGGGTCGGAGCTCCTGAAAATCAATTTATTTTGCTACCACAAAATAAAACATCAAATATCTTTTACAGCGAACCTCTGACCTAATAAAGAATAACAAAAATATCTAAAAACGAACAAAAAATCATTAAAATAATAATATCCAAAATAAATTTCACTCCTTAGTAACTCGTAGCAAAAAGAAGGGTGTATGTGTGTTAAGTGTGTGTGTTATAAAAGGTATAATTTTTAAAATTATTGTAAAAATAGCCGTGCGAAGCAGGGGCAGGAAGCTAGTAAAAGATAAATAAGAAATGTTTCCCAATACATATAAGATGCGCTCAATAAAATATAAGTAGTTCTTGGCCAAGAAGAGAAACATTTTTGTTGCAAGGCAGAATGAATATATGCAAGGGCGTAGGCAGGGGGGGCCTTTGCCAACCCCCAATTCCTGACAGCCACGTAGGGTTGCAGCGCAATATCTATCATCGATCCATCCTTTGCTCACGAAAGACAAAAGTCGCCCATCTCCAAAACAAAACTTGCACATATAACGGCCCGAAAGTGCACAGCCCCTGAAATTATGCAATTTCTGACTGCGTGGGACGCCAACGGCAATATTTTTGCGCCATATTTATTTAAGACCAACTTCCAGCTAAGTGCAAAACAATTTACCCAAATACTCGTGCACATGTGTGTCGACACTAACACATACATACTATACGAGTAGTACATACAGACATCCAACTAACCGCAGAACTGCACACACTTAATTGTTCCCTCGACACACGCCCGTTTTTTGTTGTTTCCCTTGTTTCTCTTGTTATTGTAAAGAGTTTGTGCAATCTGCCAAAGCTGCTAAAAGTTGGCCAACCACTCTGCGGAACATGTATGTATGAGCATATGTATGTGAGTGTGTGTTTTTTTTTATTATGCTAATGTAGCCACCCGACAACAAAGCAACAAGCTCCATGCACCCTACCATCAAAGCAACGCCATTCTGTTGATTTGCGCGTAGCCCACCTGAAGGGTGGTCGAGGTGTTGCGGCTAAGCAACAACGGCAGCAACGACAGAGCAACAACAACAAAAACAACAACAACTCAAAAAATGTACATAATAAGCGCAACTAAAATAAAATATGTGCCAGCAGTTTCGTCAAACGCAATGCATTTGTGTAATGCTTTTTAAGTAGCATTTAGCTAAGCTAAAAGCCATTGGACCAAAACTGAAACAAAGCACCAATTTGGCTTAAGCCTTTGCGGCAGCATGCTGTGGCGAATCTGCTGAGTAGGTTTATAAAATTTAAAAGTCCACACGCTTTCAAGCTGAGCAGCAGTCTGACAGAGCCTTAGACAAACAGAGGACGTCGTCGCCGTCGTTCCACAAATCACGCAGGTCGTTGCCTGAGAACTTCAGCAGACTGTAAAATAAAACAATTATAAAAGATGAAATGATGGCGCCTGAAAAATGTCGCGCCAGCCCTACCGCCATCGATAATGAGGTGGACGTTGTTGCTGGCAACATCGCATTACCTTTTTGACAATGGTACACAAATAATTATGAGAATGCGAGAATATTATGTAGACCATTGTATTTGAATTAATAATAATGCCACAGACAGACTTGGCCTTTGTGCACTTTATTGCACTCCTTGCCGCCAATGTGCGCAAAGTATACCCCGATTCAAGGCACGACTCCCAGTAGATGCGCACCAAAAATTCATGAATTCATTAGCACGAGCTAATTCAATTTTACATCAAAATGCTCTGCCTTCACGAATACATACGAACCTCTCAAGAAGTATGTAAATGTACAGTGGCCTTCATAACAATAGATTCAGCTCCACCCTAGATATGACTAAGCAGCACATATTAGGAAATCGAATGAATTAATACCTAAATTATTTCAAAAGTACATTGATTTTTTACTTGGAAAAACTGAAAATAATTGATATCATTTTGTGTAATTCATTGCGGCAAATTACCAACTGCCCCTGGTACGTGCGCGGTTCGACCCTTCACCGAGACCTAAACCTGTTCACCGTGGAGGAGCCGATTGGAAGGCATACAAGTAGATACAGTGACAGGCTTCTGAGTCACCGCAGTTTGCTTGCAAGAGGACTCCTTCCTGCTAGACCTTTGCGAAGACTGAAACGATTAGGTTTTTTCAAAACACTTAGATAAGCTTAAGCCACCACTAACTTATTAATCCTCGCGCGGAAGTGCTCGAGGTTGGGTTATTTTATATTTGTAAATATATATTGTTAAGGTGCTAATCTGAATGCACGGCTTCAATGCTTTGATTAAACAGAAAAAAAAAAAAAAATGTTGTGTAATTAAACAGTCCTAATATTAGACAAATATAAGAAGTGATATCAAAATGTTACATAAGGGTTTTAATTATGAGAAATAATTTATTAACTACTAATATTTTTTAAAGCTCGTTTTCCCCCCGTTGGAGCTAGAATTTTCCAAAAGCCTTTCTTAGTGTGCTCCTACACTATGATGGATACTATGAAAAGATACTTGAGTCCAAATTTCATCTTTTACCGTTTGGGCTGTGCGTTGATCACCAATTAGTCAGGACAAACTGTTTTATATATAGAGATAACGCAACGTTTTAAGATAGACGATTTGCAAAAAAGGGGGAATAATTATAAGGGTATATCCTAATTTTAAATTCACATTTGAGCCTTTTCGTGCCATATTGAGTCAATACGGTCACGCACAAACTCGGAATATGAAACACGGCACTCGTGTCAGTGCCGTGCAGCGATGAGCCAAGATCAAAAAGCACTGACAAATTGTCAGTGACAATTCTCATCTCAATTTGCTAGAGTAAAACTTTCGATAGTTGAAGCCACTGATACCATCAAAATATCGAAGTTCGAATGCAATAAGCAGAATATTTAAATAATAAAATCTAATTATTTATTGAGATCAGTAAGAACAAATCATACATACATACATCTGCCCGCAATGCGAAGCAGAATATGCGTAGCTCCCTTATTCGGTTTCTGCTTTACTATCGCTTACGCAGTCGTTGCTTAGCGACGGTAACTGTAAACTTTTGGCGTTTTGCCTTTGCAATTAACATTAAATGGTCAAAACGAAAGAAGATGTGCGAGCCAACAACTTAAAGTTGTTGTTGTTGTTTTGTATGTACATGCTACATACATATACAGGTATACATGCATATGCATGTACATATGTATGTATGCATGGGCACACATAGACACGAACTGTTGCTTGTTGTATGTATGTGTGAGTGTGTGTATGTGATGTCCCCAACTATTTGATATTTGATATATGGCAAGTAAAAAATATATTGCTATATTTTAATCGTTGAATGCCAATTTGTTGATATAATGTTGATTACATTACCCAAATCTGAAATCGATCGGACAAAATTTATAACACAAACTATTCATTTGAAAAAGTGAATAAATAATAAAACCCCAATAATAAAATTAAATGCGATATATCGAAAATATCGATACTTGTGTTGATATATCGTAATACATGTCGAATACAAATACATCGAAAAACATCGTTTGAGAGTTATTGATTATAATACTGTATTCGATTGTTCACTGTACACATATGTACATACATACATACAAATGTATTTGCATGTGTACGGTAACTGTAAACTTTTGGCATTTTTCGTATGCAATTAACAGCCGTAAATTATCAAAACGAAAGAAGTTTTGCGAGCCAATAACTTGTTGTTGTTGTTTTAAAAATTTTGATTTGAAAACATAGAACACTATTTATTACAATTAAACAACAGTGTTCGATGGCCCACTGCATACATACAAACCTATATATGTATATAAGAATGTATGTACGTACATACATACTTATTGATGTACATATGTACATACTATACATACAGACGTATGTATATATGTATGTACGTATGTAATACGTATGGTGCTGGTGTAATTCATAATGCGAAATTCTTTCTAAGGGGAGCAATGTCCCCCCTGCCCAACCTGCGTACGCCCTTGTAGTCCGTTGTCCTAAAATCCCTTATGCCAAATGTACTAAACAAAGAAAAAATAACAAAAATGTTTATGTTATAATGTTAATAATTTTTAATTAATTAACATTTCTTGCCCTGTCAGTGCAAGACGAATGTACTTTTATACATATGTATGTATGTATGTATGTACATACATTTGTACAAATGAACATTCACACATTAGTGTCTCACATTTTGCTTTGGCTACTTCAACCGTTTGCACGCAACTACACGAACAGCTGCTTGTATGTATGTATGTGTGTGTGTATGTATACTTAGTTGTCCCCAACTGTTTGATATTTTGTATTGTTTGTTCTGCCTGCATTTGTAAAATGCATATTTTAAAAATCGTTAAATGTAAAGTTGTAATTTTAGTTACGTAGATTATATTACCCAAATTTGAAATCGATCGGACAAAATTTATAACACAAACTTTTCATTTGAAAAAATGAATAAATATTAAAACCCCAATAATTCAAGCTCCAACACAAATTTCGAAAAACCGAGTATGCAGTTTTGTTTGTATTCTTTTATAGATTATAAAAACCAAATTTAAAGTTGATCGATTCAGAAATGCAGAATTTTCAAAATCCCTTCTTAGTGCGCATCTACACCATGATAGGATACTTGAGCCCAAATTTCAGTTTCCTAGCTTTTACCGTTTGGGCTGTGGGGTGTTGATTGTGTTTCAATTTTTCCACGGAAAACCCCCTCTTTTTCATGCCCCAGGAAAAATGTTGAAAAACCAAGTATACAGTTTCTTGTATTCTTTTTGAGAGTATACAAACTAAGTTTGAAGTTAATTGGATGAAAATTGTAGATTTTTCATACAAACGTTGGAGCCCGTTTTCCCCCCTTTGGCGTTCGAATTTTCCAAAGCCGCTTCTTAGTGCTCACCTACACCACTGAAGACAACATGTGTCCAATTTTCAGCCTCCTAGCTCTAACCGTTTGGGCTGTGCGTTGATTGCACATAGCTTTTCGTTTACCGAATTTTCCACCGGAAAATCATTATTATTCAGGCCGCAGGAAAAATATTGAAAATCCAAGTATACAGTTTTTTTTGTATTCTTTTTGAGAATATACAAACTAAGTTTGAAGTTAATCGGATAAAAATTTTAGATTTTTCATACAAACGTTGGAGCTCGTTTTCCCCCCTTTGGAGCTCGAATTTCCCGAAACCCCTTCTTAGTGCTCACTTTCACTATAAGAGGGATCTTGTGTCCAAATTTCAGCTTCCTAGCTCTTACCGTTTGGGCTGTGCGTTGATTGCCAATCAGTCAGTCAGTCAGTCAGTCAGTCAGGACAAACTGTTTTATATATATAGATAATAGCTATGCATGTTTTTTATTCCCTTTTTAAAAAGCAGTTCGATGTGATGAGCATAGTCCGATGAGCCGATGTAAATTATCGCGATGGTCACAGCTGCCAAGTAGCAAGTTTGAAAATCGTGTCTTCCTCCTCTCGTGTTCTATGAGAGACCGTAAATTTTGTGTCATCACTTGCCCTGCCCCCGACAGATTCATTTTATTTACCATGCGCTTCCTAGATTGCGAGTATTTCAATTATCGCCTGTTGGCTGTGCCATAAATTAAGCTCAAACTAAGACGTTGCAGTGGTGGCAGACAGCGAGGTGCGCAGGCTGCCTTGATTACAGGTGCAATATTTTTGACCAGCCAGCGATTAATTAAGTGCAAATTGCATTATAAGCCATGAAGTTTTTGACAGACTTGACGCTATGAGGGGGCTCAGACTGAAATTAAAACGAGTGGTTCTCTCTTCCGCTTTAATAAAACCAAAAAGGGCTAAAGTTGCAAACAAATCAGAGCAGCAGCAGCAGCATCAGCACCAAAAGCAGACACAGGATTTTTTGACAGTCCAATGGGCACTTTGGTTGCCTTTCAACGGCAAAAATTCATATTGTTGTCAACGAGAAACGACAAACGGGCAACAGCCAACAACCAACAACTAGCGGCAAACGCTTTGCGCAACAAAAATGATAAATAAAAAATAAAACATACAAGTAGAAAAGCCGTGAAAAGTTTTGGCAAAAAACTAACAGCAGCCACAGCGGGAGTGAGCGATTGTAAAATACTGTGCCACACACAGCTGCACAGCACAGCACAAAACCAACAAACAGCAGAAACAGAACAGCAGCAGCAACAGCAACAACAAACAAATGCTAACAAACGGAAACAAACAGCTGCATTAGCAGACGCAAATCAGCACCAACAACAACGACAACAAAACTAGCAACAACTGCAACAACAACAACAACAACAGCAGCAGCAACAAAGTTGAATGGGGTTGAGTTAGTCACTTAAAAATTCCAAACACAGAACGGAAATATGCAAAAGCTCGTGCAAAAACGGAAATGACACAGCCGCCATGTTTGCCTTGTAGCTGTTACTGTTGCTGTTACTGTTACTGTTGCTGTTATTGCTGTTTTGGGCTAACTGCTATTTTCTGTGCGGCTGAAATAGGGCGGTTAACGAGCAAGGTGCTGATGTCCTTAGAGGCAAGGTATCGTTTGCCCCACGAGTTATGAAATGTCTTCTGATTGCAAAGGTCGCACAGAGCTGAAGCAAAGGCTGAAGGGGTAACTGAAAGCTCTCAGGTATGCCACAAGCTTGAAGCTGCACACATGGTACTTGCCTCTCAGTCGTTGCAGGATAGAGATAATGAATAATTTCCAAGCTGTAATTAAGTGCATCATTAAAATATAATTGCGGAACTGCAACGCGCAATCACCAGGACGAAATTGAAGTCTGCCTCCATCAAGTTTCATGGCTTGCTCTAAACGATTTTCCAATTTGCAAGCAAAGTCGCGCCGAGGGTCATCTGCAGCTTAAATGTGAGTGGTGTGGCAATGATACATATTTTGTAATACGCATGTAATCTGCATGTGCAATAATTTGAAATTTTAAGAACTACGCTTGCTCCCTCGCCGGTGGCGGATCATCAAAATCAGGACGCACTCCAGCAAAAAGCTGAGACTGGCAAAGGCCAGCCCAAAGGCAAGCACAAACAGGGCTCCGGTTATGTTGTGCACGCCTAGCGATTTAGGCGCCTGCTTTGCCTTGTGACTGCTGTCCATGCTTAGCAGTATGTTCTCCGTTTTCTTGTCCAGATATTTCACAATATACTGCAACAAACAAACCCAAGAAGTCTTGTAGAAAATATGTACTTATTTGAACTGTCAACCCATTTTCACTATCGTGTTTACTATAGCAGGAGATGATCTCAGAAAAGTATGCTTTGAACAGACATCGATAAGGCATCAGCTAACGCTTAGTTTGTGGCAGTAAAACCTTTTGAAATCATGAGTTATCGACGGTAAAACGTTCATGAAAATGAATGCGTTTCTCCCTCTCATTTTCTAAAACATTTTACTAACATGTCTGAATGGGTCTTTCCCGTACTTAATTGAGTAAGATTATTGTACTTAACCAACAAGATAATGAAAATGGGTCCAGGTTAAAGTTTCTACCTCCATTTCCCAGTGCACATATAGACCCATCTCTTGTAGGGTGCGTATGTGCCGATTCAAGGCAGGCATTAGAGTCCAACCGCGTATGGAGACGGCACGCGTCCAATCGAAATACAAATCGTCTCGCAGAACCTAAAAAAACCAATTGTCTTCAAATAAGAAATCATTTCAATATTTCCTATTGAATACTGAATTACTGAATACTTACAATACGGTTTTCGACTGCCGTACTCGTCACATAATTTCCGAAGTTAAAGACCCCAGAGGCTAGACGTTCTACGCCCAAACCATAGTTCGGTGAAAAGCTCGCATTGTACAAGAAGTCGTAGTCGCGCACCTCAAAGTTACGTGCGAGTATCTGTTCCTGGACCAGATCAGAATTCTCCACCGTGTGCACCCAAATAATGGAAGGGGCTGCCCACTTCCAGTCCGCTTGCGCCCACTTTTGAACACTGTCCACGGGCGCACTATAGATGGGTACCGTAAGGAGTGACTTAAGCTGTCCACTGTAGATATTCTCCAGCGTAATGGTGGCGCAGAGCAAGGTGGCGAGAAAGATGCGCGGTGCAAAGCGATCGAATCTATTCCGATTAGAATCTTCAATACATATAGATATTTGATTTTTTAATCATTCCTCCTATTATCTACTTACGTGGTGGGCGCCGAAGGTTGCTGTATGAATAATGCAAATATATCGAGGATAGACTTTTCCAGCTTCTGAGCATGAAAGAAGGCACGTTCCGACCTTGTTTTTTTGAAAAAGTAGCTCGAATATTTTAAAACGTACAAGGCCAGGCTGCAGGCTCCGAATGTGCCCAACAATACCAGCCAAGTAGCCCCATTGAAAGGCAAAATGTTTGTACGCCAGGGCGGAACTAGTCTGTGGAGAGGCATGAATTAGTCCTTACAATTTGTTACCGTGCAGTGCACAACGTACGCAGGAGCTGGTCCCAAAATAGTGACCGCCGATCTTGCTATTGTATGTGAGGTCTCCGTAATGCCATCGTACCAATTGTAGATGCAGCCAATGGCCAGTTCGACGCGCTGCGTGTAAATGTCTCCCAACATACCGTCAGCTGTCTCATTCTCGTAGATACCGCCCCAATTATCGGCACCATCTAGTGACGACCAAGTGGGGCAATGGATCAGGATTTAGGTGATAAATAGCTCTGAGATACTCACACGCCTCCACACGCAAGTGGCAGTTGTGCACCTCGCAGAACGTCTTTATAATGTTAGCTTCGGAGCCATAGTACGAAATCGATAGGTTCGACCTACGCGGATTGATCGGGTCCACATTTCCAGCACCAGGTGCCTGTTGAGCCCAAACCACAGTCCATTGTTTAAATGAAGTTTATTAAGTCAGGGGGGTCGCTGTTGCGGTCATTCAAGTGCCTGAGCTAATTTACTAAATGGCTACATAATTTGTCCCCATTTCTCGCCCCTTCCAACACTTAGATATACGCGGATATAGTCGTTCGGCTATGCTGGCGCCAATTAAATAGAAACACGTAATTTAAATCAATGTTTTGCCAAAGCTAAGCCGTAAACAAAACCTCATGCACACGCTTGCGGCCGGCATTATCTCAGCTACACAGTACCGTATGGGTCTGAATGTGTGCGTGTGGTTTGGTTGTCTGTGTGTTTACAAATGTGCAAATGTCCTTAAGGCAAACAATTGAGTGCGAACAAAACTTTCTCCAAGTGACAACACAGAAGTTTTTTGACTGCATACACACATTCATCCGTGTGTGTGTTTATGCGGGTGTATCTGTTGGTGTCCGTCGAGCCCACAGTGTCTCCAGCCGTATGTGTAACAGCACGAAATATTGTTACACTCCAATGTTACCAAGCAAAGGGAAATTTCCAGGAGCATCGCCTACATATAGGACCATATGTAGGCATTAACTCGAGGGACAAGAATATTTTTTCCAAATGTTCTCTCCAAAGTCAACGACATTTGGTTAACTGGAAACGGTGCTATTTAGTCTAAAGAGTTTTTGCTATCGGTATATAAATGAGCATCTCAAAAGAACCAATATTAACCAATGAATTATGTTAATGACGGATTTTTAAAGCCTGTACCCGAAGGGTAAAAGGGTATACTAGTTTGGCAGTGGCAGTTCGGCAAGGATCTCAGAAAGTATAAGAGCTAGAATAAACAAACTTGAAGAGCATCTAGATCTCTTAATTCCGAGAAAGGGCGAATTTGTGTTTTTTTTTCATAGCTCCCGTATTTCTTGGAACTCTTAACTCAAATTCGACAATAACATCGCCTTAGTACGTGTGTGCCCGTTCCTTTGGTTTCGGCATGATAGGTCAATATTGAAGAAGAAGTTATAGCCACAAATGTAATCTCTGCTCAAGCTCACCCGGCAGCTGTTGTTGCTGCTGCTTAATTGTGTTAATTCTGTACTGTTACAATTTTACATAAACGTATGTCTCCACTTACAAGTATGTATGTACATATACATCAAATATTTTTCATTTGATTAAATGCATTAATTTAATGTTTTTAAAACACGAGGTTTTAGATACAACCTTTAAGCAGCGCGCTAGATAAAATCACCAGAGCCCTCTCATTTTGAAATAAATATTTAAACAGTGATATTTATATTGATAAGCAGAATTGTTACATTAAACTCTGAGATATCTCTCATCAATTATTTGTAAAACAGTCAAACATTTAAGGCCTTCTAAACAGAGCGCGGCTCACTGTGCTTCCAATCAGATGATGGCATGACAACTGTGTATAGCGAAGCACCCATAAACATGGGCCACAACATGTGTTTACATTTTAGCTACCGAAACCGTTGCCCACAATACAGCACCGGCAACAACTATCCAACCAGACACACTCACAAAGGCACACACACATTCACTCAGACACAGGGGAGAGGCAACGAAGAGCTAACCGCTAGCCATTTGTTTTGGGGCACTTCACACTAAGCTCTAATGCGACGAGGAAAACGACGACGACCAATTGGCTTTGTCTAATGTCGGCCTGCAAATCTCCGCTTTCGTCTCCACCTCTGTTCCTTGTTGCCTGTCTGTCCCTCTGTATGAGGGCGTGCCGACAGTAACAATAACAACAGTAACAATAACATGGAAACCAGTACTAACAATAAACATAAACTTAACTCGCAATTACTTACCACATAATTAGTATCTGTATATGGGACATAAGTAATGGAGCCCATGCGCAGGGTTCTTCGCTTCAAATCGAGCAGCTTGTTCGGATAAAGTTCGACAGTTGGACCGTTGCCGGCAAAAGTTTCGTTCGGCAAGAATGCGCCCAGGCGCACAGCATCCAAATTACCAGAGGCACCGACAAACTTTTGTGTCCACAGCTCGAAATTGATGTCGCGGTGTGGCAAAGTGGCCGAGAGTGCGTCGTCGTCGAGGGCGGGGGAGCTCCTGTTTACAGCGCTAACTCGTGTTGGTACTATCATCAGATGGTGTGGGTAAACTAAAGCGCATTACAACAATTGGCCGTTGTAGGACAAGCGAGAAACGAAATTAAGTCGTACTCAAAAAAGTTTACAATTGAACAAGGCGCCATCGAGCGTTGAGATTATTGGCAAGTGCGAAACTTTGATCGAGTACGGCACCATGTCCGCCTGCGGTTGTTGGTCGTGTTAGTTGTTAGTGTTCGGCTTGGCCATAAAATGTTGTACAAAGTTCTAACTTTGACTTGTTGTCTTTTCTCTCGGGGTTGTCAGCAGTCACATTTCGACATCTACATCGACTAATAAATTGATGCCAAAATGCCCAAAAAAAGGGTTGAATTAGCAGGGAAGTCTGATCCCAATACGCAGTGTTTTCCTAAATAGACCGTAACGATTATTTTCGACTGAACAGCTCTTGTTTTAATTTTCATTGTTTCCAATAATTCCCAAAGGAGATGCCTTCCCCAGAGTTTTATTTTCAATATAAGAAATTGTTTGTAGAAGCAGAACTCTTTTTAAATAATAATGTAAAATAAACTGTCTCTGATTGTGCTTTATATAACAGCTCTATAAAAGCTCGCTCTGGCCAAACCCATCAACATTAGTACGCCTCTGCCCTTATTGTTTATGAGAGTTTTACTTACATTGCAGAACTTCCATAGCAAGTAGATCCGCAGGTTTTTCATGTTCACACAGAAATAAATACCGCTTGTCCTTAAGTCTCACGTTCGCATTCCTGGTGGCGAAGTAGCGGGCGTGCAGGAAGAGCTCCGTGTGCTGCAGTAGAGTGATGAAGCCCTGCAGCATATGTTAAAGCTATGATTTGAACAATTGAGTATTTTGGCAAGGGCAGCTCACCTCGATTACAGTACTGTTTACAATCTGTAGTAATTGCATTTCGAACGCGTTCGGCTCTTGAGCTGGCAGCTCGTCAACGTTGAGCCACTGCAGCAAGATCGGTCGATGTCCAGCAGTGACGTTGCGAAGCGCCTGCACCAATCCCTGCATATATTCCTGTTGCAGGGGGCTATCGCCTTTGATAGTCGTGCTGTGCACAATCAGCACCGACGAGAGTGGCGCAAAGGACTGACTTACTAACGACCAACAGCAGCACTTATAATATTGTTTGGGAATAAACCTCCGATATTTTTCTTACTTATTATATGCAGTAGTCTGGTGACATGTGTGACCATCGGTGGCAGCAACATCCTTTTATGTTTTGTAGTGCACCTTATGAGCTCACTGTATTTATATTTGCAGGCAATCCTGGCTGCAAATTGCTTTGCCTCGGTGAAGACACCTAATTGAATTTAATACGCTTTAATGCGCCAACTGTAATTGATGACTGATAAGTGACCCTCTGCGAAGGCTTAGTTTCAGTAACATGGTACGTCCGCCATTGTTTGCTTTGAAATTAGCTTAATTAAAGGCAAACCAAGCTCCGTATCGAAATATTTAGTTAGACCCCCTCCACCTCCCTTGCGAACATGGTTGTGGCTGTGTATTTGTATAATTGTAGTGTATACTTAACATATAACATTTACATACCCTTTACATAATGAAGTAGGGCATATTGTGTTGAGCGTGGAAGTCCTTTGATAAATGAAATGACGCTTCAGAAAACTATCCTTTCCGTTGGATGTTCTTGTACTCAGTAGAAAACAGTTATTAAATACTTTAGAATTATATATAACATTCTTTTGATTCGTTACATACTCGTACACGTATATATGTAAATTCACTCCTATTCTCTTAAAGTTATCAAAACAAATAAACCCGCGGCCGAAGCTCATACTTATATCTTTGCAAAGATACCATCTTAAATCTTTCATCGTTAGCCAGAGTAAGTTTCAACAACCAACTTCTTAATATTCAAATTAGTTATGATATCTTTATAACCGAAAAATGTGCATAAAAATAATTAATTAAAATAATTCAAGGCATATATTGTTATAATGCTCAATTTATTTATTTATTTATTTTATTAAGCCATCAGACAAAGCTTAAAGACAGACCTAAAATAGGATCCGGCAAGCTACAAAATAACTTTTTAAGAAATTGAAATGTAATATAAAAAAAGGCAGATGATAAATGTGTTCAACACGCTTTTAAAAATAACCCAATTTGAGTAAAAACTTCCAAGAATCAAGAGAGGTAACGAAGACCACTAACAGCGAAGGAGTGAGAGAAAACAAAATTGATCTGCCTAGGGCTTAGGGGCGTATAAATACCTAGAGCTAGAATCTCTTGTAAATACTGAGATGCTTACGTATAAAGATAGATCAAGAATATACCCACATTTAAACTTTCTTGGGTCTGCCACGCCTCCTACCTTGTTTTTATAAATTCAAGCTGATATAGTATATCCTTTAACCCTTTGGCTGCAGGGTCTAAAAATCACAGGGCTAGTGGCAGGTAAAAACTGTGATTTTCCGAATGCGCTCATTAAACTGTTGCTTGTTGCTGTTACCGCATCTGCTGTGAAAATGCAAAACGAAAGCAATTAATGCAAGAGAGGGAGTACACGCAAATGATATAGTCTATAAACTGAGCCTACGCAGCTTCCCAGAGTCCAGCATTGACTTCCATTATGGGCTATCGGACTAGGCGTGCAACAGGAAATGCAACAGCACCTCCCTAGCCAAGTGGCAATTGAAACAATTCAGTTGGTCAACGAGTCCAGTCTGTTGTCGCACACCGAAATGCGAACATAAATTAGCCACTGAGGACAATTGTGGAAACGTCTGTTCATTTTGGTTATTTGAAATTGAAAGACAGATTAAAGGATTTGCCACTGGCGCACACAAAAAAAAACAGCAGGCAGCAGACAAGCGGATAGACTTAAGCCCAAACTGCCGCCGACTGCCGAGAATCCACAGACGGCGTTGCGAACAGCACAGCAGGCAGTGCTTTTATTTAAGAGCAACCTGCTGCGACCACACAAACATTCACACCCACAGAAATACACGGTTTAGGGCCGTATGACCACTTGGCAACGTTCACTCTGCGTTCGGTGGCAACTAAGCACTCTGAACCGCTTTTAATGCCAAACAGTCAAGTGTTCCAATGAAACCGAGATCTGAGCTGCGGGTGAGCCATTTGTCTATTGAAGAGCGGCACAATTGGCGTGCGTGCGGCCAAAAGTCAGTTGGGGCAAATAACGTACAAAATTAACTGGCGACGGGTACTTTCACTAAACGCGCATAAAGCAGGGCCGAAATATTGCATTAGTGCAGACACCGCAGCACACCTAAATAAGCTCACCTTATTGAATGCACATTAAAGGAACTCAGGCAAACCTATCAGATGATTCCATGGGTCGGGAACTACAAATCCACATATGTCTGGAATTTCGAATTCTTCAATTAGAAGACATTCAAGATCAGATATGACAAACGCATAATTTCTAATTGGGCTCCAATATCTTTATAAACAAACAAGAAAGGAATGCTAAAGTCGAGCGGGCTCAACGTTTAAATATCTAGTACCGCCCCTAAAAAAAAAAAAATAATAATAATAATAATAATAATTAATTTAATTAAATATAAAATATTTAACACATGCATAGAGACATAAGTGTTTATGTACAACTTCAACAGCATAGATTTACATCAGAATCGTGTCTATGCGTGCTTGTATGGAGTAAAAAAATAAGTCAAAGCAGCAACCCCTGCCGGCAGAGCTGGGGCAGAGATTATGTTTATGGCTATAACTTTCTTCATAATTAACCTATCATGATGAAACTTGGCACACAGATACATAATCACTATATGGATGTATTTGCCAAATTTGAGTACAAAAGAGTTATGGGAATTATGAGGAAAACATAAATTGCGGGAGAGTGGGGGGTGCATCAGAAAAAAACACAAACTCGGACTTAGGAGAATCTGAATACCGAGTTTGGTTATTCTTGCCCTTGTACTTCCTGAGATCCTTGCGTTCGGACGGACGGACGTTGCGGACGGACAGACGGACATGGCTATATCGACTTGCCTAGTCATCCTGATCAAGAATATATATACTTTGTGGGTTCTTCCACGCCTCCTTCTTCCGGGTTATTGCAAACATACACTCCAAAATAAAATATATATAAACATACAATGAATAAGTTAAGTTACCTTCGGTTGCTTGAATCGTAATTCCTTGAATCTAATCTAATGAGCCATAGTGTTAGCGTGCATTCTCTAGCCAAGGCAGTTCACCGCCAACAGCGCTAATCTAAATACATACATATGCACGTATGCTGTATAGGTGTGTATAGTGCATACATACATGTACATTCTGAGCTCATATTAGGAGATGTATGCGTGCCATCGGGCGTTCAACTATGGAATTTACACACCTCGAACGCACACAAGCATACACAACCACTCACGCAAACGTCGAGCAACATGTTAGCCCCACACACTGGCCAACTAACAGGCCACAGCAGGCCTTGTTGGAGAGGAGCATGCCCTGCGGTCTGACAGGGAGCCCCGCAACATATGGCCAAAAACTCGGCAAGCCCAGCTATGCAAGATGTGTGTGTATATGTATATACTTGTACATACATATATGTATGTGTGCATGTCTGTGTATATATACGTAGTATGTGTGTGGAGTGCGTGCACATTTTTAGCAAAAGTTTCCCTGTTTTTTCTTGGCTTTGGTTTAGAATTTTTTGCGTAGTCCCCACTCAACCGCTGCACAATGGAGTGCCCCCACACGTCTAGCTTCCAAAATCTAAATAAAACGGTTCTATGATTGCGAGTTACACTTTCAACTAAAAACAGTTGAGCGCTGATAAAAGTTAATTATAGCTTTGTATATTTTATAATCAATATAAAAAACATCTTGTAATGTTGTTTCCAAAAAACAAAGCCTGTTTAGAGTTATTACGACTTATAAATCAGGCTTCAATTGAACAATGGTAGATTAACACTACAGTCGAGCAAGCCCGACCCTGTACCCAGACACACTCCCGACACGGAGTTATGTGCGCCTCTAGCAGAAGCAAAACGAAGAAGAAGAGGGAAGTTGCTGCTGCAGTTTGTGGGTGTAGTACTGGAGAGAAATGATTTCGCTAATAACTTTTCTTAGCATTGACCAGATTGGATGAAATTTAAAACGAAAGTAGATGGTTTTGTTTATGTAGCTTTAGAAATGTTGACTGTATTGACGAAATTCTGTAGAGGGGACAGGGGAGGGAAAATCAAATATATAAAATAAACTCGTGTAGACTAGGGACTAGGAACGCCTGTATACCAAGTTTGCTTAATGTGCGCTCAGCCGAAATCCCGGCGTTCATCCAGACAGGCGGATGGAAATTATTAGTCCTTATTGGTCATGGGCTGCTAACAATAAGTATATCCTACTGTGTGCGTATTATTTGGTTTTGCACAGGACGGCATGTTTTACTTGTTTTATCTTTCAATATCAATGGATTAATTATATTATTTGATCAACAAACAGCAAAAGCTGTTGATTTAAAAAAAAAACAATAAAATAGACAACTTAAACTAAATAAAACTAAAACATAAAAAATACTATAGAAATTATTATTATCTAATAACGGATTTTATTTGCCAAACAGCATATTATTTGCCCGATTCACAGCTCAGAGTGGTCAGAGACGTTATTAGACCTAACAAAAAGTAAATAGAGATGAAGAAATAACAATCAAGAATTAAAATGAAGTAAAATTAAATTAAAATAATAATAAATTAAAATACTTACATAATAAAATTAAAAGCTAAAAGATGAGAATCCCAGATAAGAAAAATACAATACTGTGTTTGGTGTCCCCAACTGTTGTAGTGTCTGTAAGAACGGGTAGATCCTGTATTAGACTATCTACTGTTAAAGGGTTAACCCTTCGGCCACATTGTATAAAATGTAGTACAACTATCCTCCTGTTCTGCAAATAAATCACACTGGATTCAGCTACTTTTAAATATATTCATCGAATCCAGCTAGATCTACTATTTCACCTACTGTGCGCTGGCGGCAAATTTTCTGGCATGAAATGCAGTTGCAATTGCTTGCAGGCGCCGCTTGATGAAAAGTGAGATGGCTTCCATACTTTAAGCTGCTAGACTGTTGTTGGTATTTCAAATTTGCATATAAATGATACACACACGCACATACAGACCAATTTACACAACATAGTAATCAGCAACTGCGCTGCATTAATGAGCAGCGAACGAGGCACGTTGCACGCAGCGCCGAC